AAACACACACATAGTCTCACACGAATAAAAGATTTTTTTTTCCAAAAGTTTCAAATCAAATACACACGGGGCGTTCATAGGCTTATATATTTTGGAAACTATTAAAATAATAAAACAAAACAAAAACAGTAACGCGTTGCGACAATTTATCATCTGGGCGCGTAACCATTGAGTTAAAATAAATTTTTTTTCTTTGCTCTTTTTTTTACTATTCCGTTTAAATCTTTCATCAATGATGATGATATCAAGATGATGATGATGATGATAATTTGAATCTCATCGATGCGTAAGATAATGGTTCTACACACACATACAGCTTATGTACGAATGAACAATTCCATACCGTCTTTGAAATCCTTTTTTTTGGTGGCTTTAAAAAAACAATTTTTTGGCTCTATCAATATACAAACTTTCTATATATTTGTTTTCTAAATATTGGATATTCTGGAAACGAAAAAATCCAAACACTTGAATTGATCCTATTCTTTTTTATTTGACTAATGTGAATATAGGAATTCAGTGCATAAGAAAAGAAATGAATTCATAAATAGAAGATTTTTTGTCAGTAAGAATAAGTAATGAGGATAACTGATGATGGTGGTCGTGATGATAATGGTGTTTTTCAATCCATCGTTCCATAAATTATGTCTATTTGATGGTGGGGAAAAGATATGTAGTGATGAAAAAAAGTGGACGGAAAAAAACAAATCAAAATCACTTTTTTTCACTTCTCTCTCTCTCATATCACTCAAAGAATTTGATGAAAAAAAAACAAACTTGACCACTTTGGTTTGTGAAACAAGCGAATATAAATATTGTACAAACAAATCAAATCAAACTCTTATACACAAATCCTTTTTATTTTTCTTGGTTACGAATGAATAATCCTTGTGTGTGTGTGTGGAAATAAAATTCATTTTCAATCATTTTTCTTATATTGTTTATGTGAAAAACAAAAAACAAAAATGAAAATCCACATGGATTAATAGGATAACACAACAATTAGATAACATTAGATTCATTCAGTATTGATTTATTTGATTTGATAATCTGAAAAATGTTTTGCACAAATTTTTTTTAGAAAAATAAATAATTTTATCATTTTAGTTTGGTTTGTAGAGAGAAAAAAATCTATTTATTTATTCTCGGTGTGTGTATTATTATACAGTTGTTGCGAAGATACTCAAGAGTTTAATTGTTCATTCCAAATGAATCGCTCAAATAAAGATTGAATGTAAATGTGATGAATGAATGAAAGAATAAAACAAGAATAATGTTTTGGGTAATCAAGCATCTTATTATTTCAAGTTGAATCAAACAATAATGATGATGGAAATTTTACTTATTCTGATTGGACAAACTATTATATTAATAGTTGTGAAAAAAATGATAAAGATAAAGAAAGAAAATTTCCTTTTCTTTCATGCTCTATCCAGAAAAATAATGCCAGAAATGTATGTTTGATGTTTGGATATTAAGAAACAGAAATAAAAATCCAAATGGTGAGAGAAAAAAGAGTCGACAAACAAAACAACAAACAATTCGGTAAGTTTATAGTTCATGTATGTGTGTATGTTTGTGTAAGTTTGTTGGTTAAATGGCTTTGACACATATCGTGTCATTCAAAGAATGATTCTTTAGTTTCAGAATTTCTTCTTTACCGAATAAATAAACTTTGAAAGTGTGAGAAAGAATAAAAAAAACAAGACGAAACAGAAATGAATAATCGTGAACAACGAAAAAAAAACCGAACCATCATCACGTAATATTATTGAATGCAATGAAAACTGAAGCCATCATTATTTCTTATCACCATTTACGAAGAAATTGATGAATGAAGAATTCTTGAAATATTGGGAAAAAACAACTTGGAAAAGAAATAACGTTAGATGTTTTTTGGGCTGAAAATAGAATGCTAAATGTAAATATTTGTTTTTACTTTACTGCTGTATCATTGAAATATAGTGAAGCTCTTTATAAATAAAAATGTTGTTGTTTTGGATTCTTCGGTTGGAATTGGTTTGAAATTTCTTGGGAAAAAGTGTTCAAATTTCATTGGACCAAAGGTTTGTTTTGTTTTGTTTTTTCCTCGGTCGTATTCATTTGTTTTCATTCATATGAACAATGATAACTTTGATGACAATTTTTTTTGTCCCGGGAATCTGGATTCTTTCTGTGATTCCTCATGTGGTTCTTTGTGTGCACCACCTTGTTTCATTTCCTTTATTATTATTTTCATCATATGAATTGAATACCATATATCAAGTTGAAAATTTTCAAAAAAAAATTTGAATTTTATTCTTCATTGAAATGTTTCAAGTAAGTAGGTGGAAGTTTATTGTTTATTTGAATATCGAGAATGCCAAAATTATTCATTAAAAACAAACTCTTTGATTCAATATTGATAGAAATCAAAACCGAGAGACAAAAATATAGAATATGTTGAATGGCTTGAACACATTTCATGATTTGTTCGTTCATTCGAAATTCTTATTTTATCATTTCAAACAGATGTGTGTGGGTGTATTTTCAATTCTTTGGAATTTTTATTTATATTTTCCATTCTATTAATAATATGATTCGAAATGATTCATTCATTCGTTTAAAAACAAACAATCATCATTGTCATCGTTATTATTGACTTTTGACATCGAACAGATTCTTTTAATGAAAATTTCTGAAAATTCCAATGCAATCACCAATTCCGATGTTTGTTCAATGTTGTTGTTGTTGTTTCGAATAAATTATAAAGTTAAAATTAAAACTTTCTTTTCCTTGAAATTATTTTCATTTTTGTTTTCATGATCTTGATTCAAAATTTGATTTATATATGAGTGGCAAACAGAAAAGAAAAGAAATTTGAAATAAAATTTCGATTATTGTTTTTAAATTGAACAAAAAAAAAATTATAAAGTAAAATAATAATAAAAAGAAATTTTAAAAGCAATTACTGGATAGAAATTGAAAATTGAAAACAAAAATATTAGATAGGAATGGAAAAAGAAAAAATTTTCAAATGAAAATGAAAAATCGACAACAATCATTCAAATCGTCTTCGAATCGAATCGAATCGAATAATTAATATTTTTTGAAAATAGATGCCCACGGAATTCCATAGAGATATTATGAACGGGGTTTGTTCTTCCATTTTGGTTTTTGAGATTTTGTGGAGAGAGAAAAAAAATTTAATGAAAATAATTCTCTTTTTTTGTTCATTGAAAAAAGCAATAATTCATAAAATTTATTGAAACCTTTTTTTCGTTCATAAGATCTGAAAATTGAAGAAAAATTTTATGTTTTACAAAATTAAAAAAGAAAGAAAAAATTTCAATTAGTGACTTCAATGGATCACCATTATTACTTTGTGTGGTGGATTTTTTTCCCACTTTCTTTTTGATATTAGCTACTGTGTGTGTGTGTGTATGTTCGGTTATCTTTCAAATAAAATCAAATTCATTTATATGGAATGAAATTTATTCTATTGATTTTGGATTCGAAACACTCCTTTGATTGGGCGTGTGATTCGTATGATGATGATGATGATGATGATGGTTGGGCTATATTAAAAAGTTTTTACTTTTTCTCAGAATTTTGCACTCAATCAACCGATGAATCGAAAAATCTTTTAAAGTAAAGTAAAGCAAAGTATATGTGTGAGAAAAACAAACTCCCTCAAGTGAAAAAGTCGTTTCAAGCACGTTATTATCAGTTTAGTTTTTTTTCAATTTTTTTTCATTTCTCATTTATTTGGATCGATCCATTTTATGTCCATATTTGAAATGTATTTTTATGTTGTTGTTGCTATTTCATCAACATCGTCACCAGATTGATGAAAAACAAGCAAATGAGAAAAAGATGCGAATGAAAAACCTGATTTGTGAAGATTTTATTTTCATTTTCATCTGTATGTTTGCGAATTAAATCAAGAACAAAATGTTTTTTGAAAAAAAATGTAATATCGATCGATGACAAAACAAGGAATAAAAATATCGTCAAGACATTTACATGTGAGTCACTGGAAAGAAAAAATATATCTTAGAATCCCAATATTTGTTTACAATGAAAAAAATACATCGGTTGAACTCAACCAATAATGAAAAAAAAACAACGATTGTCGTTTAATATAACCGCAAGGGCCCATTTATGGTTATCAATTGAATTTAATATCAGTAACTTTAATACAAACACAAAATAATAATAATAATCGTATCATCAATAATCAGATTATCAATCGGTAGACAAGCTTCTCTCTCTCTTACTCTTGATTTCTCTCCCTCGTTACTTTCTCAATAACAAAAAAATGAAACGTCTCGAACAAATTGAATCGATGTGTTTGAACCATCAAACCTTGAACCTCAGAATATGATGATGATGATGATCAATCAATCGTGAATGTGAATAAAATTGGATGAATGTTTTTCAGTGATGTTCCAAAAGCTTAAATTGATCACTAAAATATTCGAATGAATATTTCCCAAATGGCAAAATCACATTCATCGTTTTTCACACAAATGATCAAGAGTAATACTTTTAAATTAAATTGGAAATTCGTACCAAATCATAATAATAATCATCATCATAAGCATCACCATTGATTGCTTAGAGGCAATCTCATATCGATCGTTCATTTTTTCAAAAAACTAAGTCAATCAATCAATTTTTTTTTTTTGAAAAAATGAAATTGGAAAAAAATTAATGGAATTACTGACGCCATCTATCCTTCAATTAAAGATTAAAAAATCACATAAAAAATTGATCTTTCACGATTTTTGGTAATTTATTTATTTATTTAATCTCTTTTCACATTTATTTTTTTCTTTATATTATTGGCATCATGAATATTGTTTTTTTTGACAAATTAAAATTCAGTTCGTTTGTTTATTTCATGAGAGAATCAGGCATGATTTTTTATTTGAAACGATAAAAATAAGATTTCTATAAGATTCAGCACTTTTCTTCATTTTGTATACAATCTCAAAGAATAAAATTATTGTTTTTTGTGATAATTTATATATCTTCTTTCAAGCGGCAATAAATGAAAACGAAAATACAATGGCAGCCAAGATCGTTCGATTTTTTTTTCATTGCTGTATTTATTAAAGCTGTTGTAAATAGTTAAAATGTATTCTGCACAAAGCAAATGAATCATCCGTTTCAGGAATCAATTTGATCAATGTCTGTACAAAAAGTTTCCTATAAAAATTTAACATTATTAATTAAAATGATATCAAAAAATTTAAAACTCACCAAAAATAGATGAACAAAAGTTTGTCTTCGGCAAGCTCATATTGTCTGAAAAGAGCAGCCAATATACGTGTTCCATTCTATTCATTAGGAAAACACAAAATTAATTTAGAAAAACTTAAATTTAGAAATACTACAAATTTACCTTATTGGTAAAAATTTTAGAATCATCAATTGATGATACCAAGTAGATTAAGGATTTGGCCATCTTGATTTGACCGATCGCTTTTACCAACATATTTATTATATTCATATTTGGATTTTGTCGCTCTAATGTGTTAAGCATTTCAAAACAATTCGATCGTAATAATGAACTTAATAATACGACTAAATGTTGTTCATCTTTCAATTGACCAAGACTTCGCACGACCAAAAATAGACCTTTATTAATGGCCAATAATTCTGGATCAATTTCCATAGACATTCGTTTCAATGTAAGCATAACACGATTGATGAGAATAAAATTTTGACTTTCATCTTTTTTTATACCAACAATATGACGGATAAGACCATCAAATAATTTCTGGCACAATTCTGAACGGCGATCACGATGTTGTTGTTTAACATCATCTGGCAATATAGGCATTCGTTTATCTTCATCTTCAATATTCAATAAATGTTTATAAAGGCGTTCGATTTTCAACAAATATTGACTTTTACGATCCAATTGATATTTGACAAACATCGAAGGTTCCGTTTCATTCAATTCAACTAATTTTCGAGGACATTTTGAATTAAGCACTTGAATCTTGCCCAAGGCATTATCGAATTGTATAAACTTGGGACGGCTTTCTTCCGCTGATGGTATAGCCATCTGTGGCAGCACAAGAATCGGTTCCTGTTGTTGCTGAGGATTTTGTTGTAAATTATTTTTATCATCACTGTTATTATTATCAACATTTCGATTCAATTCAGGAAAATCATTAACGAATTTTATATCTGTGCCAGCGTTTGTTTCATTATGCAACATCAATTCTTTCTGTTTCTGTAGGAATTTGTGCGCATTCTTTCTCAACATATAATTCACTTCATAATAATCTTCTACATATGGATCGCTCACTTTGCATTGTAATCGAAACACTTTCAATAGCCATTCTTTTTCACGTTGAGTCATAAATCCGGCAAATTTATCTCGATTATAATTGTTATTCCTATGATGATGATAATTATCTTGATTATTATTATGATGAGAATGATGATTATAATTATAAGATCGTTGAGCTTGTGACGGCGTAATTATACATTTATTTATAATGGATCGTTGCTGTTGAAGTAAAAATGGATCAATCACATTAGCTGGTATTGGGAACTGAATTTTTGTTGTTTGTGGTGGCTGGTGAAGTTGTTGTTGCTGCGATTGATGTGTCATCAAAACATTCATCATTTGTTGTGGTGATCGAATTAATAATCGAGGATCGACCATTGATGATGGTGGCATCGAACCTCTAATGGGTGAATGTTGGTGTATTTTATCATTTTGATTCGGTGAATTACGATTCAATGATTGTAATGGTGGTGATTTAGATGGTAAATTATTACCCGCAGTCATATTCATCAACATGAACGGATGTATACGATTATTATTATTATTTGAACCTAATAGGGTAGAGGTGTTATTAAAACCTGGAGGTGGCTGAACCGCTTTAGATGATGGAATGGTGGTTAGTGATGCATTTGCCGAAGGATGCTGCTGTTGAATCGCCAATAAATGTCCCCCAAGTGATAAAGCTGCTAAACCCATGAATGATGATAAATTCTTATTCTGATTGTTTTTATTATTATCATTAGCTGAAGTGAATGGTGATTGTGATTGTAATAAAGAACGTTCGTTCATTCGATTTGGTGTCGATGATTTCAACGATGAATCCGATGTTCGAGAAAAATCTGCTTCAAGATCTTCAGCTCTAATGACCGAATTTGGACTACGGAATATATCGAAATCAGAGGATTCAAATCCAGAAATTGATGATGTGATGTTTTTCTTTATCGGTGATTGTGTATGATGCTGTTGCTGTGACACATTATTGGTGGCTGTTGGTGCTAATTCTGTTGGCGGTGATGGTGGACGCCAAACACTTGACATAAATGTATGATCAAATGGAAGAATCGATGGAGATGGTGGCCGTAATGAATCAAGATCAATATTCATAGCTTTACTCTTCTTTGACAATGATGATGATAGTTGCGGTGATGATGATTTATTTGTTGAAGATTTATTTCGATTTGTTTTTGAAAATAATATTCCATTTGTAAATAATCCATTCTCATCATTGTCATCATCATCTTCATCGTCGTCGTCGTCGTCCATATAATGATGCAAAGAAAATGTAGATGATTCGGTACAAAAAATATCAGTTTCATCGCTAACAACATCCAATAAATTTTTTGCTATTAAATCTTCACAATTTGGAAATAATAGTTCATCGTTTGAATATTTATTCATAGAATTATTACATAAGCCAATTGAAGATAAAACGCTGCCACTATAATTCGAATGTTTTGGTTCACAATGTATAATCGATCCAGTATCAACAAATGCCGAACTTCTTTCATGTGTTGTTTCAACAAATTTTTCATGTTCTTCTTCCCAATCATCATTGATTTCAGCAACATCACAGCCAAATGTTTCATCGTTCAATGCATCAACATCATCGCCTTCCAACGTACAATCATCCATTATTAAAAGTTTATAGCGTTGTAAATATTAATATTTGTACTGTAAAAAATGATGGGCCAAAAAAACAATCATAATTATGATTCGGCAATATGCCGAGTAAAATTATGAATATATTGAAAAAGTTATTTCGAAGAAAATGAATTATAAAAAACAAGTCGAATAGAACAAAAGAAAAAACGTAAATGAAAAATGATAATCATGTAATAATTTTATCACATGATGATAACACTTTTTTCAAAACAAAAAGAATCGAATTTGATTAATTAAAATAAAACAATGATCATAATAGGCCCAAATGGAAAAACAAATGGCACGCCGAAAAGTGAATGAACAGTGGTTGTCGTATTCGTTGCTGTTGCTGCTGATCGCGATGCAAGTGTCGACGCCGATTGGATCGCGAGAACGAAGCAAAAAAAAAAATGCTCGAACTTTATTTATACCGTTCATAAATGAGGGATTGAATGATTTTTTTACCGCATTTACTGCTGCCATCTTTTGATGAGGATAAAATATATTCTTGCATTCTCTTGGGAAAGAATTTTTTTTTTCGTTTCACTATTCACTATTGAGTATGTGTGAGCTTGTTTTTTTTCGTATACGTAATAGAATCGTATTTAAATTATGATGTGTTTATTAAAAAAAAAATTAGTTGAAATTCGAGATTATCAAGAATATATACAATGTAATCCATATTTTTCATACACACACACATGTTTTTAACGTGTTGTTTTTGTTCATATATCAAAATATTGCCGTTATTTTCATTCAGATAACTCTTGTTGAAAAAATAGCATCATAAAATAGCATGATTAGTTATGATGATGATGATAAAATATTTGATGATACAAAAATGACATCATCATCATCAAATTAACCAATATCGACCAATAATGATTATGATTTTTTGCAATCAAATCATAATCAATATTTGATGAAACATAGGGAAACGAAAAAAAAACCTGTTCATAAGTCTTGAGAAAAAAAAATTATTTTTTCAATTTTTCCTTCTAAAATAAATCACATTAAAGAAGCGAAAAAAAATAAACATAACAGGAATTTTTTTCAACGATAAAATTGTCGTCGACAGGTATGGAAAATCACCTTCATCATCATCATCACTACCAGGAAATCTGATAACAAACATCAATTTTTTTTATAATCATCGTTGATCATGAAATGAAAATCGAACCATCTAAAATAGTGATCGTTTTTTTCGAATCAATTTTTTTTTATTTATTCTCCTCGATTATGATAATCGATTAACCTTCAACAACAACAACAAAATTCTCGATTTATCGATTGTTACTTCATACTTTGTTATTCAACGTTTCAAATTACAAGAACCAACCAATTTCATCAAAAATAATAATCAATCTTTTTTGTGTATTCCTAAAAAAAGGTAAAAATAAATCTCATTCATTTTCAAGTGAACCTAAATCTAAGAATTAGGGCAAGAATTTCTAAAACAACAAACAAACAATCATTGATAATCATAACGTGATGATGATGATGAATGAAAAATGGTTAAGTTAAAAATAAAATTATTCTGACAAGCTCATGCACACACACCCATCAAATAGTGCAGTAAAGAAGAGAAAAAACTTCGATTGTTTTGTTTTGTTTTTTTGTAGGAAGAAAGAAAATTTGTCAAAGTCATCATCATCATCAAAACAAAATGATTAGAAATATTTAAGGATCATTATCTCCTGATCAACACGTGTGCATTTTTTCTTTTTTTTTCAATTCTTTGTTTTTTTTGTTTCGGTGTACATACATCATCTGTTCGGATAAATATAAACAACAAAAACAATAGTTTATTTGATTAAATCATTGTTATTATTAAATTAAAATTCTAGTGGTAAAATAAATTTTTTCCATCATCATTAATCAGCGTCATGGATGCAATGGAAACAATGGATAAACCACTGTCAACAATGTCTGCATACAAATCGAATAAGCCGGATTTTCCGTAAGTTTTTTTTTCTACTTTCGAATGATTTTCTTTATTAATTTGTAATATATAATAGATTATTACCGAAAATTATCAATGGAGGAATTGCCGGTATTATTGGTGTTACGTGTGTTTTTCCCATCGATTTAGGTATGTATTGTCGTCTGTTATAATTTTTGTTGTTGAAAAGGAAAAAAATATGTTTTTTCCTGACAAATATTATTTACCATAAATTATGTCAATAACATTCTTTTATATATAAATTTCTTATCAAATTGATAATGATACCAATGATGATTAACAGTGAAAACACGGCTACAATCACAAAGTATTAAACCAAATGAAATTCCGCAATACAAATCAATGTAAGTTCAATGAAAAATCATTTTAAATTTAAATTAACTAAATTATTTTGTCATAGGGCCGATTGTTTTCGAAAAACTTTTGCAAAAGAAGGATTTTTCGGAATGTATCGTGGATCTGCTGTTAATATTTTATTGATAACACCCGAAAAGGCAATCAAATTGACAGCTAATGATTTTTTCCGACATCGATTTTCGGATCGTTCTGGGTAAAAGAATTATGTTTTGTTTTGTCGGAAATTTATTCATTAATATTTTTTTCTTATTAATAAAGAAAAATAACATTACATCGAGAAATGATTGCCGGAAGTTTAGCTGGTCTTTGTCAGATTGTAATAACGACACCAATGGAATTACTTAAAATACAGCTACAAGATGCGGGTCGTGTACAAACAAGCGGCCTTCAAGAACGTCCATCGGCAACACGAATTGCATTGAGCCTAATACGATCAAAAGGTATTTTTGGTTTATATCGTGGTACAGCAGCAACTATGTTCCGAGATGTTACATTTTCGGCAATCTATTTTCCAATGTTTGCTAATTTAAATAAATTGGGACCAAAAACAACTTACAGTAATAATGGTAGTGATAGTGAAACGGTATTCTGGGCATCATTTCTTGCCGGTTGTGTTTCCGGTGGAATTGCTGCAGCTGCTGTTAATCCTATTGATGTGATTAAAACACGATTACAAACATTAAAACGAGCTGAACATGAACAACATTATTCTGGAATACGTGATGCATTCATTAGAATTTGGCGTGATGAAGGTATTAAAGCATTTTTCAAAGGTGCCGGTTGTCGTGTTATGGTTATTGCACCATTATTCGGTATTGCACAAACAGTTTATTATCTGGGTGTTGCCGAATATTTAATGAAAAAATTTCGATTAGCAAGTGATAATTACAGCCACAATGATTATAAACAACAAAAACAACAAACAACGAAAAAATTACGAATGACAGAGAATTTATCAAAAGTTTGAATATTTACGATGAAAAATTTTAGAAATTTTCCTGAAACTATGAACTTCACATTCACTATTCGCACACCCACACACCCACTACTCACGAACCAAAGCCTTTTTTTAGTTCAATTTGTTTTGTTTTGTTTTTTTGTTAAATTCATACCACATAAACATCTTTAAATTATATCATTCTTGTTTTGAAAACAAAAATTTGCATAATTGTTATTGTTGGAATCGAATTATTATTCTTGTTATTTATTATCAATTGATTTAGTATTTCACACACATCTCCCGGATTATATTTTCATAAAAAACGATTCCGTCTTTTATTTTGTTGTTTTTATGATTTGTGTGATCATTGAAAATCAATGAAAAAAAATGAATTAATTATTAATTCAAATTTTTCTTAATCTCACCAAACAATTTTTTTTGTATTGCAAAAAAAAACATTGTTTTTGTTGTTCAACTATTTCATTGTTAAAATTTCAAACAAAATTTCGAAAACACTAACAAAAAAAGAATGTTTTATAAAAATAAGAAATTGATCCACATTTTAATAGAAACAACCACATCACATATACATCGGAGAAGAAAATTTCACCTCTGTTAAACCTGTTGAATTTTTTTTTGTTGATTAAATTGAAAATGTTTAGATCTAAATTCGAATTAGAAAAAAATGGGAAATTAATAGTTTTTTTTCGAAAACAATCGATTATTCTGTTTGAAACTATCGATTGTTTCGAATGTTTCCGTTTTGTTCTGAAAAATTGTTTTTCTTCATTAATATTATAATTTCAATTTATAGTGTTTGCGTGATTACAGCAAACAAAAATTATCAACGACAAGGATGCTTGTTGTTGTTATTGTTGTTGTTAATGATGATGAAAATATGGATCAATGTTTTGATGACCAAATATGTCCAGTCGCATCCGTGTTTCAACATACACACCAACGCGTCGATATTGAGCAATGGAGAAAAGTTTGTATCATTCAATTCATTTTAGTCACGCGATGACTGAATTTAAAACACATAAAATTGATTGATTGATTGATCAACTTATTATTGGCAATGATCCATGATGGAACATACAAAATTTTGAAAATGAAAAACACTCATTATAATGACGCAATTCTGGTCAATATTCGAAAAAAATTACATTCTGTGCCATGAAAATTTTGTTTTATCGTTTTACATTTGATCCAACAAGGCCTCGATTTTGTTCCAGTTCCAAATTGTTCGTTGGCGGAGGTTTTTTTAAAAATATAATTTCTTCACACAAAAATACAAAAAATTAATCATTTATAATATTTAGATTAATCCACCATCGTCGTCGGATGTAAACCATCCGTTGTAAGATGGAATTTAGCACAGCAACAGCAAAAAAAATTGATCGTTTTAAAAATTTTGACATACGCGCCTTGTGTGTATGTGTGTGTGGTCAATTTATTATCATCAAACAAGAAAGACTGAAAATAATGGGAAAAATTTCTTTCCAGTTTTGTTTTCCAATTTTGTTTAATATGCAGAATATATGTTTAAACATGAGATAATTTAGCGAAAAAAAAACGATAAACAGATGGATAGATTTTATCATCATTAATTATGAAAGACAAATTTTCCCATCTTTAATTCATGTTTTTAATTGAATTCGGATTGTTTTTTTTCGGTCTTTCATTTTGATAATCAACAACAGGTCACAAATGAAACTTCTTTTTTATCATCATAACAACAAGGTTCTTGTACGGTGTCATCTTTTGAAATCTGGATCATTGTAAACAATAATTTCGTAATCTATTTTGTTGATCTTGATTAATTTGTTTCATAAGAAAAAAAAACGAAATCATTGTGCTAATAATCAGCTACTGTAAAAACAGTCTTTCTTCATATCCATCATTTCAATCACAAATGATTAACTTTCATTTTTAACATTTGATTTACCGTTATAGTTTTATTTACTTTTGTTATACATATATCGATACGTAGGCGTAATTTATGGATTTGGATAAGAAATTTTCTGTTGTCTTTTTAACTTAATTTTAATTTCGATCATTTTTATTATTTGTTATCTCTTCGTTTACACACACACACACACACAATCAATACTGATTGCTGATTTGTTAAAGTTCAACAAATAAAAAAAAAATGAAGAAGAAAAATTATCATTTAATTGTCACTAGTCTTTTTTACCTTCACCAATTCTTACCAATTCACACCTACACATATCGAAAACGTCAAAAATCCAAATTTCTCAAGGATTTGTTAATTTTGTGTCAATATACTGACAATACGGAGAATTTGAAAAAAAAAGAAAAGAAAAAGATGACTAATTAGGAGGTGTAGGTGGTGGTTATGATGGTGGTGATCAAGGTGTGTGTTAATAATGTTTCACCCTTAAACTGTGTATCCATACTAGGTGATAAAAATCAAAAAAATCCAATTCATTCAATTTACATTGATGATGATGATGATTAATGTCCATCGATCCATCGGTTGTTTATCAATCAAGCATTGAATTATCAATCATTTTCTGTTTGAATAATGAAAATAAAATAAAAATAACAACAACAAAAAAAAACATTGTCATACGACAAAGAGGTGGTTTTTGCTATTTTGGAACAATTTTGTGTTTTGTTTTGTTTGTTTGTATTTCATAATATCTTTGTAAAAAAAATGAAAATGAAAACATTTTGTTTACTGTGGGTGTCATTCCTCATTTCACATTTCAAACAATATTTCGCAACAAAATTAATTTCATTTTTTTTCAATTTTGTTCCTCTACTAAAAAGATTTCGATTGTTTTTCCCTATGAAGGAACTAAGGAAAAGAAGAAAAACACAATTGAATTAAATTTTTTCCGAGAAAAACAAACAAACAAACATTGGAGCAACAAATTATTAAGAAATTTTTTTTTTCATTAATAATGACAAAATCTCTAATTATCAACTTAATTTTTGTTGTTGTTATTTCGTTTCCTTGAATATGCAAAAACATTTTATTCATATATGTGAAAATATTTGATGCCTTATTAACTTGAGAATAATCATGATAATAATAATAACGATGATGATGATGATATCATCATTGTTATACAAACATTCATATCTTGTTTATCATTTGCTTGGTTGGCAAAAAAACAAACAAAATTATCATTAAAATGTGAAAAATCATCAACAATTTCGATTGATAATTTGCTGATGTTATTTGATGGAATTTTTATTTTCTCTCCATATATTCATTAGTGAAAGTAATTCGACATTGTTTTTGATGATAATGATTGTTTGATTTGCATTTCACACATTCATATATCAGTCATTAATATTTTAAAATAAATGTCAAGGTTTGTCAATTCGTAATAAAATTTTTTGTTTCATCGATCAAGATGATTGATATTATTTTTAAAAAATTAATGACTTTTGACTTTTGGAACGGCAACAAAAAAAAAAGTAAAAAAGATTTTCTGTCCTGTTACTGATTTTATCACATTCGAGAAAAAAAATCGATCAACCTTGAATCCAAATTTGTCGAAAAAAAATAACAAAATGGATGATAAATTTGGGGAAAAAAATAATGATATATAGAAAAAGACCAAACCGAAGTAAAAAACAAAATTGCCATTATCATTATCATCATTATCATGATGACTGTTTCAATCGATCCAAAATGGAATTAGAATAGTAAATAAGTAAAAATAATCATTATCCCACTCTATCCATGTCAATATGATGATCGTCATTAAACAGGTGTCATTTTTTTTGATCACGAAAATAATTCAACACCGGTGTCATTTAGGATTTTATATTTTATTCATGAATTGAATTATTTTGGCCAAAATAGTGATTTATTTTGTTTCGAAAAAAAAATGGCGCCAAATACAATGAATCGAGAACGCAAATCATCATTTTAAACAACCGAAATTGTAAAGAATGAGATCAATGTCAAAAGTTTTATCATCAAATGATTTTTGATTCATAATTTTGTTGAAGAAACAAAAAACAGTTTCACGATTTCATTCTTCTCCTACACCACGCGATATAATTTTTTCTCTTCATATTTTTTTTTAGTTGCCAAGATTTTTTTTATTTGTTGCTAAAATACCACTCACTTGTCTCTCTTCAAATACTTGATGATAAAATGGATTTGATTTCGAAAATAAAATTTATATATTTTATTCATTTATTTATCATCTAAGTGACGATGTGAAAATGAAAATTACTTTCAAGAGTAATTTTTTTTTTTTTTTGAAATTAAATTTCATCAATTACCTTAAATGATTCGATGCCATGCTTTTTGTTGTATCATTTTATTTGTCAGAGACAATCATCTTAAATCGTAATGATGTTCAAGAAAAAGAATTATCCGTTGGTGACATGATAATATTCTCAATATGTACATGTATATGATGTGATGATCATGGTGGTAGTAGTTTATGATTATCGTCTATCTCTATATATATAAAATTTCCGTTCTTCTTGTTATTATTGATAATAAAAATAATTATCATCAAGATGGTGGTTGACAGCATTGATTTATTTAAAAAAAAAGTTGCATTGCAATCATAGTTGAACAACTATTTTTTTCAAATGAAAAGAAATCATCACATTGTTATGTATATTTTCTCGTGATTCTCGTCGTATGATCGTTTATGATTATTTTGGTTCGGCAAGAATTTTAACCCTTAGATGATGAAAAAATATTCTTTCAATGTTTGTTATTGATGCTTCAAGTGTCTGTATGTGATCATCATTGCCTCAGAATTGCAGAGTGTGTGTGTTTTTAATTTTCAAATATTTAATTTTCACCTTTTCTCTTTCTCTTTTCATCATCCCATTATATATCTATCTTTATTATAGATTTTTATGTTGTGTCATTCAATTCATTCATCCTTTATATTTTTCCACCATAATAATAACAACAGATTTATGAACAATTTAAATAACCAAAAACATATCTGTTTCATTTTCAACCAATTTTACATTGTTGCATCGAAAGGATTACTGTTCTATCTAACAATGTTTATGATTTTGTTTGCTAATTGCAAAAAAAAAATATTCTTATTATCCACATCACCATTGACAATAATCATCATCAAAAAAAAACAACATTTTCTACTACGACTATGACAAATTTGTTTGTTTGACTCACAATTTTATCAACTATATTTGAAATGTTGGATTATCATTGAAACAAGTGAAGATAATTCTGCTCAGATTTTTTTTCTACTAACCACATTTATTCATTCGATTATTATCACGTTTTATACAATTTTTTTTTACACAATGATGTGTTCATCATTTTAATTAATTATTTATCAAATATAAAATAATCAATGTTATATTTTGTGCTTACCAATTTTTTCATGACAAATATATTGTCCTAATTATTTTTGTTTTTTTTCTGGTTCATGTGCTTGTGATGCTGCTTGTAATGATTGCCATCATGTTTTGATTTTATTTTTGTTTGATTGGTGTGGAGAGGATATACAGTGGATTTTTGCTTCGAATATTTTTTTATATCCTTACCCGTATAGTTTGTTTATTTCATAGATTTTGTTATTATTATGAATAACATATCCGATCCACTAGCAACAATGATGATAAAAATTACCAATAACGATGAACAATCATCTAGTTTAGATTATTGTATCGATGAAATTCAACATAATGACAGTGATCAAAAACAATCTTGTTTCATCAATTCTTTAAGTAATATGATGGCAACTAAAAATAATAATGTTGTTGATGGTGATTATGATGATGATAATGATCAAAAACAACAAACATTATCTGAATGTGATGATTTATTTAGCCAATATCGTTTAGAATGTGAAAAATGGCTACTTGATGATTCATTAATTGCTAGTCTAGATCAAGAGGTAAGTAATTTGGAATTTTCGTTTTCATTTCGATTACTTTGACTAATTCATCTCTCTCTTTTTTTAATTACTGTTTATGAATAGAAATACATAAGTCTTTTACGTAATATGGTTAAAGATTTACTTGATCAAAATGAATGTCTTGTATCAAACATAATGGAAATCAAACAAGAATCGGCTAATCGTATCAATGAATTACGACGAAATCTTGAAAATACAGCTGCCCGTACTGAAGAAGTGATGCTTTCATTACAATCACATGAATTATGTTTGAAAAATTTTGTTCAACAACATTGCTGTGAATGTTGTGCCTGTGATATGCGTCTATTGGAATTTAAACTATGTCATGGTCCATATTGTGATCAATTATTTAATCATCCTGAAAATATTTCATCCAATCCATTAAAATCACCATGCTGGTCATTCGGTCATCTTTTAACCTCGGTCGTACATCAAACATCACATTTTCTAACAAATAAAGAATCATCATCATCCAATTGTCTACACAATGTCAACAGTGAAATGCGTTTCATGAATCTGGTCAAACTTATTGATAAAAAAATACAACAATTAGAAATAGAAAATCAACAGCTACGAAAAGAGAATGATATTATTCGTGAATTAAATTCATTGATAAACTGTCGCAATGGTACTCCATTAATGTTGAATGAATGGCGTCATAATAATTTTAATAACCGGAAATTATCATACACTCAACGGACCGAAAAGTCTGAACGAAACCATAACCATTATCATAATCCATCAAATAGTTGCCAAAGTTGTAGTACAAGTTATAATATGGATTCACCATCAATATCATCCACATCATCATCATCGCTTTGTCTAAGTCCAAACATTGATCGTGATTCATTAAGTAATGGTGGTGGTGATTTTGGCAACCAAACAACATCTATGTTGATGATGATGATGCCTGATGATGGTGATGATATCCAAGAATTGATTCATGATAAATATAATTCAACGCTCACAACAACTTCAATGATTAAGAATAATGCTTCGATGTTAATGAAAGATGAAATTAAAAGCAACAATAATAATGATGATAATGATAAAAGAGATGATTGTTCTTTCATTGAAGAACAAATGTTGAATTCATTATTCAACTTAGATTCAAAAACTACAACTGTGGAAATGAAAAGTAATTCTAAAAATGATCACCATTCAACCGATAGACAGATTAACAATGGAGGTATTGTTTATTATGAAGAAAATTGTGATTCATGTCGTCTTGATAATGATAGTGGTTGTAGTACGGATTTAATACCATCACAAACGGATATGCAATCATTGTTGGCATTATCGGATCTAGATTATGATATGGATCATACACATAATAATAATGAACATGAATTAATTGCCAGAACAAATGATGATGAACAACAAAAAATGATGATGATGATGATGACACTAAGTAGTAGTAGCTCAATGAACTCATCTTTACCAACAATGTCAACCGGATCATCACCTCAATCATTCACATCTAAGGACAACGACATTACTAGAAATTTTTCTAACCATAAACATAATTATGTTCACCAAGATGTTCTTAGTCGGAAACAAAATCATAACCATGACCAGAATTATGATAACATAAAAGAACCAGATAAATCCTTCTGTGAAAGAGTGAAAACGAATGGAAGTGATGTCGAAATCGAACAACTTCGTATACGAGTAAATTTAGCCGATCGTTTAATTCCGAAATTATATGGAAAACTATTGTATTATATGAATCAAAGAAATCTAGTTTTGTCACAATTTCGTCAGGAAAATCGTTTACGTGAAAAATGTAAACAAGATCTATCCGAACTGACCGAATGTATTATTAATAATGTTGATTGTTTTGAAAAAAGATCGTCAACTATTTTAGCTTCGATCAACAATAATGATACTGATGTAGCAATTAAAAACAAAAACTTATCCGAGCAAAAAATTTCTTGCCGGTAGCTAACAAATAATAATAATAATCGAATTTTTTACGGACCATTTAACATCATCAAAGGATCTTATCATTTGTGAATTATCAATTTTCATTATGACATTAATTAATGTCAGAAATTTTTTGTTTATTTATTCAGTTCGCTGACCTTATTATATACAAAAAAAAACATTCATCAATTAATTTCATTTAAATCAATAATTGCAACGATTATTATTATTATTAAAAAACATTTCAACGACACATAACATTAGTTAGAGATTTGTTTTGTTTCGTTTTCAAAAAAATGGAAGAAAAATTCGAATAATATGATTGAATCAAAAGATAAATGTTTTTCATGCACGGAAGATTAAATTGAAATCCCGAAAAATGCGATGTTTAAGTAGTGGAATTTAATTCTAACAGGTTCGTAATTGAACGTTCAATATTACCACGTTCAGTTTGTAATACCGATTTGATTACGTCGATTTCAATATTTGGAAACATTTCCTTTAATGTTTGAACATCTTCATCGCGTATCTGTATTGGTTGTGGTGGTTGCTGGACAGCAGCTTGATGCTGTGTTTGTTGAGATGGTGGTAACAAAGTTGCAGCAGGTACAGGACTTTGATGAACAATTAACGGAGCAGCAAGTATTGGTGGAGTGGAAATAAGGACTCCGGGACCGTGCAAATGTGAAGTATGGTAAACAGGTGCCGTCATATAGGTACGCAATGTTTCGGCCGTCACAGGCTGTATTTGATGTAAAGAGAATTAGATTAAAGAATGAATTACAAGATTAAACAATAAAGATGAATGAAGAATCGAAAAAAAATTATTTACCTTTGAATTAACAGAAATAAACAATTCACCTTCTAACCCTTCACCTTGTTTGCCCGATAAAACAATTCGTTCTTCAAATGTATGTTCAGGTGTTTCACTGGTGAATCGTAAAAAATTTTCCGGTACCTTATACGTTGCCCATGCAATTAATTCATCTTGAGTGAATAAACAATCATCGTACAATTCGATTGCAATGGTATCGCATCCAATTGGTAAGTAACTAAAATGGTTTGAATAGAATGAATGGATTATGTGACTAGCTTTATGAACAAAAAAACCTACCAACGACAAGTTTCATTCCATTTTGGATTCTTTCCACCTCGAGTACTGGTCCTTGTTTCATAGATGGTATTACCTATACGTATTCGAACATATGGACTCATGTTCATTAAGCCATAATTTTTGATCAGATGGGCTTCAACAAACGTTATGGACAAATGAGCACGATAATTTGAATTCCAATTGGCTACGGCACGTTGTTGTGACAATAATTGTGAATCATATTGACGTTGAAGTGAGGCAGCCAATTCTTCATCAAGTTCAATCTGGCTACGCGTTTGATTTGTCGGTGATGATGAATCTAATCGAAGAAAATCATCAGGTAGTTGTCCAAGAACAACTGAATTTCCGTTAACATTTTGTACGTTTGACATTTTTTGTGTTTGATCATTTGATGTTGATTCAGACGAATTTAGATCAGAATTATCATTATTATCACCATTTATTGTTTGGCTTAATAATGTTTTCGGTTTAGTTTCGCTCATTTTATCATTAGAATCAGTACGTCTACATTAATCAAGAACTTTGTAGAAATTCGTGACACAAAATATCGAAATGTATTTATCATTTATTGACGATGACAAATAAATGCAATCGTTCCAAACTTCCAACGCAATATATTTAGATCACAAAAAGGTATATGTCAATATAAATTACGTTAAACTAACGATCCCGTATACCACTACCAATCGGATTGTGTTTATTTTTCTTCAACAGTTAAAATTATCATACCACCAGTCCAAAGAATTACCGGATCCATTCATATATGAAATGATTGGTGAAAATAAATGAAACCTGATCATTTTTTGCTTGGAATAATTGAAATTAAAAAAAAAACCTATAGAACATAACTGTTTTATTTATACATCGTATTCAAATTTATAGGCATAATAAAAATTCTAATAAGACAGAAATTAATCGATTCAAATTGAATCAAATTTCGACCAACAACCATTCCTCTATTGTTTATTATCAGGACGTTTTTTGCCAACATCATACATAATGTATGTCGCTGGTCCAAGAATTCCGAATAAAAATCCCAGATAGACAACAATTTTCTCAGGTGTACTGATTTTCGGGCCAACATTCACGGCCATGTATCGAAGATAATGAGGATACAATGTTCGACGAGTTTGTTGTTGAACATTTGGATTCGAAACCAAACGGCCCAAACGTTGAAACACACGAATGTTATTCATTTTTTTATAGCGATTATTGACTGTTGTTTAATCAAGATTTAAAAATCAACAAAACTTTTTATGAAACGAAAATTTCGAAAAAAACCAACTTACCTTAACGAACTCACAAACTTTAGCAATGTCTGATTATTTGTCCTTTGCTGTGTCTTGGTAATTTATGAACATGAGCTTTTGAGCCACTACAATTTTCGGCTTTATCAAAAATGACGTTACAATAGTAGTGGCACTTTTTAAATTACGAACAAATGAAATTCAAAGCTTTTCTCAATTCATTTAAGAATTTAATTTTGAAATTAAAGTTTTTTCCTCTGATAACTAATATTTCCTAATCAGATCGATAATAAAAATTCATTCCATTATTTTGAAGTCTGAAATTATCGTCAAAAAATATGAAATAAATAAATGAGCCACCGGTTATATTGTCGCTGTGGTCGTGACTTTTAACGATGCTGCTACTATCGATAAAATGCTATCGATGATGATGATTATGTCCGTGTATCACTCCATCGGTTTTTAGACAAATTGATCATCATCATCCGTGATAATAACGCCCAGAAAATTTTTTTCTAAGTGAAAAATTTTCATTAATTAATCCATCCAATAAATCCATTTTTGTTTGACCCGAGTTTTGATTTGTTTTTGTTGTTGTCTTTGTTACCAAAAAAAAAAATAAATAAATATCAAAATGGCTTTAGGTGAAGCTGATGTCCAAAAGCAGGTATGTTTTGAGAAATGAACCAAAATTTATTGATATATGACCATTGACACTTCTTTTATTTGGATACAAAAAAAAGATTAAACACATGGTTGCTTTCATTGAACAAGAAGCAAATGAAAAAGCCGAAGAAATCGAAGCTAAAGCTGAAGAAGAATTTAACATCGAAAAAGGTCGTCTAGTTCAAGAACAACGATTAAAGATTATTGAATTTTTTGAGAAAAAAGAAAAACAAGTTGAATTGAAACGAAGAATGTAAGCGTGCTTATATAATTAGCGCTTATTGACATTTATTTTCTTTATTTCTTAGTTATAATTCTCATCTTCAAAATCAATCTCGTCTTCGAGTTTTGAAACAACGTGAAGAACTAATCAGAAATGTTCTGGAAGAAGCACGACAAAAATTGGCTGAGGTTACCAAAGATGCTGATTTATACAAAAAAGTAATGCAAAAGCTAATTTCCCAAAGTGTGTTCCGTCTTGTTGAACCTGAAGTTGTCATCTGCTGCCGAAAACAAGATTTGACCTTGATAGAATCATTATTGGATTCTGTTAAAAAAGAATATCATGCTGCCACCAAACGTAATGTTGAAATTAAAATTGATACAAATCGTTATCTTTCACACGATACGTAAGTTGCATTATTTTTGCAAATCAACTTGTAGCTAACCTATTTAATGTTTTCATTATAGCTGTGGTGGTGTTGAAATGTATGCCCAAGGTGGTAAAATCAAAGTAACCAATACGCTTGAAAGTCGTTTAGATCTGATCAGTCAACAGTTATTGCCGGAAATTCGTGTTGCATTGTTTCAACGAAACCCGAATCGAAAATTTGATGATTAAAAGCATCTCACTGTCTTAAGAATTATAGGCATCATTTCCAAAACACATACACAATTCTATTTCCAATATCAACGCCCATTTTATCAATAATTTATTAAGCTTTTTTTTTGTGTCGTGTATATTCATCTTATTTTATTTCCGATTCGTTTGTTTGATTTTGGTCAACGTCATTGGTTGCATTCCAATTTAAATCATTATTTGAAAAAAAAACTAGTCTAGATAATTGTGCATGAAAAAAAATCCATTTTTTCTTTGGATAGAAAAATCTATTCCAAATGAAAATTTTTATAAATTTTGTGCGCATTTTGCGGTGTCCAAAAATTTTAGACAAAATCAAAACATTCGAATAGTCTTTCTCTTTTAATTCAATTATTAATCAAGAAATCTTTAATGCAATTAATTGTTATTCAAAAAAAAAATTTGTAAATCTTTGTGTGTTGTTCAAAAAAAAAGTACAACAAAATAATTTTTAAGCTAATTGTTGAAATAATTGTAAAAATTTTATTAATCTTGATCGATTACTATAGACGAATTCTGAAGCTTCATTCAGATCTGTCTCATCATTCAATTTGTATTCGATTTCTTCGAATTGTTTGCACATGTAACCATCGATTTGTTTGAGAATCGTCATTAGTGTAGAGTTACAAAGTTTTGGTTCGATAAATTGTTGACAAAGTGAATGAATTTCATCAATTAAATCCTTCCATATTGAATATTCATCAATGAAAATGTTCATTTTAGTTTTATCGAATAATTTATCCGATGTAAAAGTTTCGGTGACAATGTCGTCGTCGTTATTGACAAGAAAATGAAGAGCAATTTTAAAAATTGCACGAATCAAATTAATACATTGTTCAATTTGATTCTGATTAATGCTATGGATCATATTCTGAATAAATAATTGAATCAAAAGCTTTTGCGGGGAAATATCTTGATAACATTCATTCTTAAACATGATAGCTAATTTTTCAATCTGCAACACACAATTATTACGAATAATTTTTTCATTATCTTGTAAAAGTTGAATAAATTGAATGAAAATTCGAACAAAAATATCATAAGAATCTTGATCAAAGGATAGATCTGAAAATGGAAATTTTCTCACACAACAACCGACACAATGAATGGCTGCCAAACGATCAGGTATATTTTCAAGTTTTGAGCTTAGATTTTCAATAATATCAAGAAATTTAGACCATACTAATAGATTCAAAATTGGTTCATTCATATCTTCAATACATTGTTCAATAAGCAATAATAAATGCCGATTTTCTTTCATTTTCAAGGCTAGATCTAGCAAAGAATTCACATTCAATTTTGTCAATCTTTTAAGAATGTCATTCATATTATCGAAAAATTCGATTCTTCTTGCATTGAAAATAAGAATGAATATTTCATTTAAAATATGCAATTCAACATTGTACAAAGAATTCAAACTTTGGCCAGTGAAAAATTTATTTATTTCGCTTGAATTTTGAATGAGGCTATAAAAAGATTCTCGGTTCAATCTGATGATTAGATGGTTGAAATTTTTAGAAAGATATTTTTGAATTTTGATAAATTCCTGTATACTATCAATGTAAACAGTATCTAAGTTTGAATGTTCATATTTGAATAGATTCGATTCCAAACGATCTAGTTTTGTATAATTATCATCATCCAATAATATTCCATTAATAAGCCAACACCAAAGAGCCAATTTAGCTTCGAAAGCATAATTTATCGAAACGAACGTTTTGAGTGTTGGGAAAAATGCTTGACCAGTCGAATCAAGGAAACTATGGATAAGATAATCAACTATCAAATTGAAGCAATAATCATCTTGTTTTTGTCCATTTTCAATTAGATTGATCAAGTTTTCTTCAAGTATTACAGTGTGATCCTTGAAAATTTCGGTTTGATTTTTTAATTTCAAACATAGATAGATTCTATAATGAGCTTGATGAAGTATTCCCAATATCAGATCATTAGTAATCGATTTATTTTTAAACATTATGATCAATTTCTGATACAATTCGATCAACAAAACGGACAAATCTTGTGATTCTGGACTCGAATTCATTGTATGTAGATAAAATTCTCGAGAAATTTCAGCCAACAGCATTGCTAAACCATGTAAATAATTTGATTTCTTTATTTTTGTTTCATTCTCAATGAATCGATCATTAAAATTGACAATAATATTCGAATAGCTAGTTGATGGCAATAGACGATTATAGGTGCAAACAGCTAAATGACGTAAACGAGCATCACGACAATTGTAAATAATATTTTCGATTAATGGTAAAAACTTAGTGGCATCATAAATATTATTCGCACTTTTTGAAATGATCAACTTGGACAAAATAATCAGAATAGGATTAATAAACAATAGTTGCGAATGAGATTCTGAGATTTGTGACGATTCTAATTGTTGCAGAATGAACAAATAAAGGGATGGATAACTTTGAAAGAATAATAGTGATGACATTCGATTTTTACGACTTGTATCTGAACGATTACGTTTAACACCAAAAACTTTTGTTATCAATGAACTCAATAACATCGAGGTAGAGTTCTGAATAGAATATAAGTATTGTGTAGAATTGGAATCATGAAGACAACGATGATATGTATCATGTTTAAACCATAAAATGCTTATTTTAAATAATTTTTCAATCCAAACAGAAATAACAGGTGATAATCGATTATCATGCACTAATGATTTAACGATATTCAATGAATGAATAATTTGCCAAGATTGTCTTCGATTACTTTTTTCAGGATCCAATATATCAATCAATGTTTCGATGAATGACAAACAATAGTTACTGTTTGGATCGGCCGCAATTATCGATTGAATAATAAACGGAAGTCCGGCACTTCGACGAGTAATTGAAACATAAGTTGAAGATGAAGAGTTTAAATCATTTTCAAGATTTTGTAATCGAATTTTTATTTCATCGATTTTCGATTCAATTTTTCTTCTACACACTTTGCATTTATTCTTTAACAATGATTCTACAAGATGATTGAATCCTCGTGAGCTTTGTTCAAACGCTCCACGATGAACAAGATTTAGTTGATTTTCGTATAAAAAATCGATAATTTTGTCAACATATTTGCATGATATTATAGTATCATCAGTCGTTTGATGATATGGAAAAGAACTAACCAAGTGACTTATGATGAGAACTGATTCTTTGATAGTCATCCAACCATTCATTAGAAGCATTTGTGATACCATATGCAATCGGTTATTATGAAGATCAAAATTAATAAGTTCCAATTTTTCAGTGGTCGGTAAGTGACCTTCGGGTGAATCGTTACAGACAATCGATATAATCGATTCGCAAGCAGCAATACATGAATCAATTATTCTGATGAATAAAATTTGCCAAGCAGACAATTGTTTTTCATCATCATTAAGATCAGATTTTAGTTTAACTAAATCGATTTCGTTACACAACAATTTTCTTATGGCCAAAAGTAATGGATAACATGGTGATGAACATGAATTTCCTATATTTAAATTGATCTTCACGATTCTTTGATTTAATTCAGTGATCAATGTTTGAATAAAATCGAAATATGAAGAATAATTCTGGTTATCATGAAAAGAAACTAAAAATTGATTTAAAATTACACCAGTTTGTGCTTCTTTAGGCTGTATAGATTGTAACAATGTTTGCGACCATTTGTTGAGAAAATCAATTTCCGATTCTGTGAATGTTATAAACTTTAAACGATAACATGAAACAATGAAATCTTTAGCACTTGTTCGAATTTCTTGCAAACTATGTTGAAACATGAATATTAGAGATTGACGGTCAACAGTTGTGATACATGAATCTTTTATCAAAACTAATAACGGTTCAGATTCGAGTGAATAGTCCACTAACAAGTTTAAAATTTTCAAATAAATCAACAATGAACCGAAATATCGACTCATATGTAAATTGTCTAAACAATATTGACATATCATTCGTATGAAATCAATATAAAATTTATTTGTCTTTGAAAATTCGGTTTTGTTTCTGTTAATCTGAATGATAGTTTGAGCAATCCTCGTGAATAATATTTTAAATAGCTTGACTAATTCATCACGGCCAGATGCTTGTTGAATTGTATCACAATTTTTGAAAAGCAGATATATAAGATTCAATTCGGTTTGATTAAATTGATCTTTATTGTTCTTTTTAGATTCGATTAATAATCGTAAAGTATGAAGACGTAAATTATCACCATTAATTTGCTGAAGAGCAAATTTTTTTGCAAAATTTTGAACGGCATTTTGTTCAATAATAATTTGGAAATTTTCCTTCTGATTCAATTGTAACAATAACAAAATTAAATCTGGTTTTAGTGTCCATAATGTTTGTTCATCTCTAAAGATGTGTGCAAAGATTTGTTTGACAATTATTCTCGAAGATGGAATATGATGAAAAAGTTTTGGGATAATAATTTTAAAAAAATATTGTGAATGTTGATAAGGCCATTCTCGTAATGATCGAAGAAACTCATCACAGAGATAATCGATATGTTCTGGCCAGAACAACTTCAATCTTAGTGACAAATATTCAACAAAATCAATATTTCGTATTGAACCATTAATGGAAGAATTATCATTATCTTCATCGTTATCATCATCATCATTGAATGAAGAAATTTGGACGCATGATAATAATTTTTTCATAGAGTTTGACAAATCATAATCATTTCGTAATAAATGATAAAAAATTCTTCCAAATTCTTTTAGGGTAATCGACTCGGAAATAATGCAAAATAAACGAAAAATCAAATGATTTGATTCACAAAATTTTGGAAATAATTGATTGATAAGATATGATTCAAACAATGATGGCAATGAAATACTTTTCAAAATTTGTATGGATAAAGATGCTGTTGAAAAAATGTAATCAATGTTTGTGTGCGACCAATTGATAATTGAAAAATTAATCATTTCATTCACATCTTGTCGGATGATAATTTCAATGATTGTGGATGACAATTTTCCTCGGTGATTTTCAACAATGAATTTGATTGTTTTGGCCCAATTAAAAGTCAGTAATGCAAGATGGTAGATAAAATTTGAATCTGATTGATTGACATTTGACAAAAGTTTTATCATATTTCCGATGTTTAGTGTAAGTAATGCCGGCGATTTTAATGATTCCATCAGAAAGGTCGATAATAACGTCATAAAAAATTCGGTCTTGAGATCCAACGATAATGGTTCAATATTATCATGAAATACGGACAATTCATCATTTTGATGCAACAGGTACCAAACATGAATGATAACAAGACAGCCTTGTACTAATACGGAATTTGTAAAGAAATATTGCTTCAACAATAACGATATTGATCTATAATATGCTCTTATTGTACATTCAAAATCCAAATCTAATTTTTGAATATTTTTACGCATCAAATTTAAAATTGAGCTAGCCAATTTGAATTCATTATCAAAATACAGAGAAAATTTGGTGAACAAATCAGTTGATGAAAAAGTATGATCTTCATGATGATAGAAATCAAGTTTTTCTCGATGTAAATGATGGAATCGAAAAATCGCTTCGATCAGTTTGGACAAAAAATTAAAATCAGTACTAATCAAATTATGGCTGAAAAGAATGCGAACATTTGCAAAAATACGATCAGCATTCGACGGCAAGTATTCGACATCAATAATGAATGATTCAACAAGACTAGTAAATATATCACATACATCTTCTTCGATCAATTTTTTCAAAAGAAATGATTGAACAGAACATTTTGGTTCGATATCTAACAAAAGGTAGAAAAATAACTTTAAAATTTTATCACGGCAATCGGGTTGAGTTTTCAATAGCTTGAAAACATTTTGGCAATGTTTGACTGAATAATTGGAATGTTTATCATTGGATTGCATAAATTCACGCCAATTAATTTCATCAGGCAAATCGTCAAAAATCGATGGATGATTGTGAATAATTAGGTTAAATAAGGTTTTGTATTTGGAATCCATTTTTTATTTCTTGAAATACATAAGATTCAATAAAATAAACAAATTTAAAAACACATGTAAGAAATACAAATACGGTATGTTGATCATTATTATTATCATCAGGATAGTTTCCATGATTCGTCCAACAGATGGTTCTTATAAAAATACGCTTGTTTGAAAGAATTTTTTATAAATAAAAAATTTTTTAGAGAACATAAAAAATAGAAAAAAATGTGATGCATTCATTTTTTCCAATACATAATTAGAAATACAATGATGAAATTAAGAAAAGAAATTGAACACAAAATTCATTTTGCATTCAATTCGATCACTTCGGCCACAATAGCTTCATATTCACGATCCCGTTCGGTTTTATGTTTTTCATACATATGAGCGCGTAATGTATCTCGACGGCTATAAAAATTTGGACAATATTTACAGCAAAATTGTTTAGCTTCATGTATGGTACGATGAAGTTTTAGGCCTTGTTTTTCCGAGAATCTTTTGTCACATTGATCGCATTTGAATGGCTTTTCGCCCGTATGTATACGAATATGTTTGTATACATTCTGAGATTGTGTGGAAGAATAGCTACAAAGTGGACATCGATATGGTTTCTCTCCCGTATGTATACGAATATGAAGTTTCAATGTTTTCTTTCGTTTAAACATATTACCACAATATTTACAGGCAAATGGTCTATCAGCAGTATGTGTACGACAATGACGTTTTAAATCATATAGTCTAACGAATGTAAATTTACATATTGGACATTTGAATTCTTCTTTACCATCTGCATTTAATGTTGGAACAATATCTAAATCTAAGGATTATTTTTAAAAAAGTAAAAAAAAAATATTGAATTTCAATATAAATTCGAACATACTTTTGCCCATAATATCAGTTGTATCATCATCATCATCATTTTTATTTGAATTGACAATGATTGGTTTTAGTTTTGATTTTAATGACAAACTTGTACCAGCTGTTGATGGCAGTGGTTGAACACATCTTTTAATTGGTGTTTTAACTTTCGATGATTGTTTCAATTTGTTGATAGTATCCAAGTCACCATAAATTCTGGTAGTATAAAGTGTATTACCATTACACATTATCAACTTAGAACATGATCTTATATCATCGATATTTTCATCCATATCCGTGATTTGCTATTTGTAAACAATAATCTTAATAAGTATGGTATAATTATTCAAATAATGTTTATCGATCATCAAGAATGATGAACAATTAATTCAAATTCATGTTCAATAAAAGTGCTTTGGATCAATATTGTTGGTCAATAGTATATACTTCTGATCTAATGAGCTCATCATCAATCATGAGCACGCACACGATGGTGTGAGAAACATCGAAGTCTCTAAATAATGAGCCTGGTTTATACCTGCTTAGTTGTCGTAAATTTCATGACAATTTTCTATAACTTGAAAACATATGTGATACAATCACAAAAAATATAACTCAGGAAAATGCATTTTTTCAACTGGATTAAACCATTTGGAAATTTGATGAGATTTCTGTTGTCTATCGGAATTTATTGATCTCGTGTTTTATTTATTCTTGGATGTTAAATCAGGCAATTTCTTTAAGAAGGTTTATTTCAGCCTAAGTGGGCGGCGCCGATGTATTTCAATTGGCTAGAATGTCCGGCTTTTAGTATGAGCAGTTGATTAAATCATACAGTAACCGGAAGGTTCTGGGTTCGAGTCCCAGCATCGGCGATGTCCAATTTTTTTGTTTTTTATCAATTTACTTTTTTTTTGTTGTTGTTGATATTATTACCACATACTATATTCATTTGGTAATAATCAATTTAATTTATACAATATTTTAGACTAATCATCATTTAAATTGATCGAATTTATTTTTTCTTGATTCGATCAATGTCCAAAGTTTCTTTGATCACTTTTTTTTTCACTCAACTCATTTCTTGTCATATTTTTTATCGAATAAAATAAAAATGATAAATAAAATGCTGGTGATTCAATAAATTTTTTTTTATCAGTCAAAATTAAAATTCTTTTAAACATAATTTCAACAGGGTACAAATATGTCCCAAATGATCATTAATGGATTATCATCAACATCACGATTAAATAGAATGATCATTCTATTCTATCAAAAACAAACAGATGATGATGATGAATCAAATTATTATGAAAAACAAAAAGCATCCATTGATTAATAATCAATTCATTCATTCTGTTAATGTTTATCATGTGAATGAAATGATATCTTGTCATCATAATCATATGATATAAACAAATATCATCATTATAAATCGATTAATGTTTTGCATTGAATCCGAAAAAAAACCTTGTCAACTAAATTAAAACAAACATGGCAACAATTTTTGTTGTTGTTGTTAGTTATTTTTTCAGTGTCAAAAGTCTATGGTTTGATTATGATGAAAACAACATTATGAACAAGGTGATAGATAGAATATGTTTGAATGTAAAATGGTAAAAAAAATTGTCTATCAAAATTTAGGCAAAATATCTTTATTTAGTAAATCATAATTATGGTTGACAAGTGCAAAAAATATACGTTTTTGAACATCAATATTTTTCTCATATCAGCATATATAACAGATCAATGATCAGATTTTTGGATTGATTTTTTTTACACCATCATATTGTGAAAAGAACAGATAAGCGCGCACACACACACACAAAGAAACCATTAGCATTTACCATTTGGCCCATTTTCGCTTTAAAAAAATATGGAATTCATAATTTAATTTTTTCGATTTTTTTTCGATTTCGATTTGCAGAGAATTTCCTAATTTGATTTATCGATCACGAGTTTTTTTTCGTTTTCGATCAATATTTGTTTATTTGTTATCAATCATTAAAAATGAATTCATTGCATTGATTCAAATTGATTATAATCAATTTTTTTTAATCGAAAACCAAATTTGTCATATTAAATAAGATAAATAATGTTGGTTGCGTTATCTTTGAAATCATATTTTGTATTGACTTTTCTAATCGTAATCGCAATATAAAAGATGAGTGGAAAACCCTTAATTCACTCATTAACTCCAATCCCTACATTTTCATTAATCATTTATTTCTACTTAGAAAAAAATTGTTTAATTTTCATTCATCATAATTATTTTTCATTTAATAAATTTTATAAAAGTGTTACAAACACATTATCATCACTAATGCCGATTGAAATGGAAAATTTACATGAAAAAATTGCCGAAGTTCGTTCACACATTCTTGATTTGTATAATGAGAATAAAGAATTATATGATGAAAATGATATAAAACGAATTTTACATGAAGATTATCTTATTGAACGTGATCTTTTAATTCGAAAATCGATAAAAGATACAAAAGAAATGTTACCAGCTGCTTTGCGATTTCGAAAAGAACTGAATGTATCGAAGTTGAAGGCCGTAGATTTTCCATTAGAATTTCATAAATTAGCTATCGTTTTTCATTCTGGTTCTGATAAAGAAGGCAATGGTCTCATATATCTCAGACTTAAACATTATCGACGCGTTAAAGAATTAGAACATCTATTTAAACAATTTCTACTTTACCATATTGATGAATTGGACAAAAAAACTCAACAAAAAGGTATGGCTATCGTGATGGATTTCCGTTCGACTGGACTCGTCAATGTGGATATGGAATTAATGTGGTTTCTACTAAGAGCATTAATTCAATATTTTCCGTACGCTTTCAATCAGTGTTATCTTTATCAGCTATCATTTGTGTACCGATCGATTTGGAGCGCTATACAACGATTATTACCAGTTGAGCTGCTTCAGAAAATGAAAATGGTCAACGATAAAACTATATTCGATTATATTGATCCTCAAAATTTACCATTATTTATGGGTGGTAAATGTGCAAAAAACTTTTATCAGTTACCACAAAATTGTATAACGGCATCCGAAATGGGCTTTAGTGAAAAAGAATATCAAAATTATTTGAAGGTATATAAATATCAATTGGAAGAATGTGAAAGAGAATCTAAGCAATTAGCCAAAAACGAATTAAATTCATATTAATTAATTAATAATATTTTCCTATATTCAATAAATATCATGAATAATTTTATTTTGATTTCAATTTCGATTTTTGTTTCAATGAAATATTGTATCAAATGATTTGAGTTTGTATTGCACCATCTAACAATGGCTGAGCTGCTTCTGCTATTACTGTTGGTGTTGTTGGTGGTGTTGTTGGTGGTGTTATTGGTGGTGTTGTTGGTGGTACCGGTATGAATACTCGCCAACTTGGTCCTTGTAATTCTGACAAATCAGTATGTGGTGGTACTAATATTACTTCGAGATTTTTTGATGAATCTGTTTTCGTATTGCTAAACATAAATTGACGGAAATAATCAGGTTCTGGTTTTGGTTTTGGTTTTACATCTACAATGGATATCTTTCCTGAATCTATAAATTTATTTTCATTTGGTTTAATTTCTATGTTTTTAATTATGTTCTCATTGGCTGGTGTATTACTTGTTATATTTTCAATTGATGTACTATCTTTATTTGCTAGTTGCATTTTTTTGTTGATGATCTTATTATCTGATATTTTTGCTAAATTTTGATCGATCTTTGCTGATCTATGCGTAAATTATTCAAAAGTAATTAATGATTACAAAGGAGTTATTCAACATACCGAGGTCTAAAAGCAAGAAAACAAATTACTATAATACCTAGAGCAATGAGAATAGCTATAGTTGTCGTTAATCCGGTATTTATTTTACTCGGTGTCCACCAACATGACCAACTACCGTAAGAAAATTTATTGCAACCATTTCGAAAACAATCAATAGTATTTTTTTTAGCTGATTGACTAAAATTTTGATTACATTTATTGGCCACTTCTGTTTCGCAATCAAGAGCCGACCATATGAAGCAACAGAATTTTTTTGTTTCGTAAAACTTTTTTAATAATTATGAAATATTTCTTCATTAACACTATATTAATAATGAAAAAAGTTACATTTTCTTACATAATCATTGATCATTATTTCCCATTCCTTTTTAGCCTTCATTTCACATTCTTCAAAATCCGAATAAATCAATTTCGGACATTTATAACGACCGTCAAGTCCATAGATAGGTTTATATTTGAAACGTATCGGTTCTTCATAATATTTTCCATTTAATATAATATCTCCCGAAGCATATTCATTTAAAATTAAAATTAACAATAATATTATTAAATACTCCATCATTCAGTGGTCGATAAATAAGATTCGAGTTTTTATATATGAGAAAAATATTCGATTTCAACAATAGTTTAATCATCCTTATGAAAGTCTTGAACAATAGGTGATTTTTTTAAAACGTGATTGATTTAAAATATTGATCATTCTATTTTTGTTGAACATTCCACTTCTTTTGGAAAGAATCATGCATTTTTTTGCTTAAATCAATAATGTAAAAGTCACATTGCTCGACTTGAATCCCGGGATTTTTTTTTTTTTTTTTTTGTTCATAACAACGGAATTTTTTTGTTGCAAAGAAAATGAGTTTAGTGTGTTTTCAAAAGTATTCTTGAAGTTTCTTTCGCAAACAAATAGAATTATTTTCTTCAAAATTCAATTTCCTTCAAAATGACCGATAAAAAGAATACATTAAGATTCTATTGGATTGGCCGATTTCGTTATAAATTTTCTCATCATCTAATCAACTTTTATGAACGTAATGTTCCGAAAAGTCAAATGACAGCGTTATCGAAAAAAGCAAATGACAAATATAATGAGATAAAAGTCGATTGGAACATGCGATATTCATTTGGTCTAGGTATGTCCAACTATTAAACTATGATTAATCTTTCATTGTTTTAACAAAATCTTGAAAGATGAATATTTTGCTTTAGCCTTATGTATAACACTCGGATTACGTGGTTTGTACGCCTTAACAGATCGTTCGTATTGGCATGATACAAAAAAGCAAATGTATTTTGGCAGTTTCTTTGGCGTATACAATGCTCATCCATTTCATATAGAAACTTTATGTCTTGTTTGGGCTTTAAATTGTCTCAACGTTCAATTATTCTCATTATTCTGTCGATTGAAACATTTTAAATGGCTTAACATTATTATGATGCTTGACGAACAAATTCCATTGAAAAACATGGGTAAGAAAAAAGAATGAAATTTTTTCACCTTCAATTTGATTTTATTGATTGATTGATTTCTAGGTCTTAAATCCAAAGAATTAAAGGAGATAAAATTCAAAGCATCACTTATGTCTTATTTCATCCGTAACACTATCATTTGGTTATCAACTATTTGCTATCTCATTTTGACATATAAATTTTTTAATGCTTATTCGTTAATTGATTTCCTAATTTTTGGCATTCCATGGAGCATTTTTTATGCAATCACAACAGCATTGATAACATCATCAATTTACTATACAAATTTCTATGTATTTCTCATTTCCGATATAATGCGTGTAAAATTCATACGCTTTGAAAAAATGATAGATTTATTATCGGATTTTTCAAAAAATGATTTATTACTTCGTAATCCAAAGTTCCTTAAAGTAATGCTCGATCGAAAGATGTATCAATCATATCATTATTTAAATGGTTTAATGGTGGAATATGATATTTATAATAATACATGGAAATGGTTGGCTACATTTGCCTTATTATGGCGTTTCATTATAATCAATTTCGTTTCATTTCTTGCCATTTTTTATGATATGCCACCTACATTTCAACTGATGTATCGATCAATATTTATGAGTGAAAATTTTGCTTTTTTACTATTCTTACTCAAAGTTGTTCTCATTCACATAAATATGATTGATTCTAGTAAACGTTTACGGCAATTTCTATATCAAATGAAAAGTAATCCGCTTACGTTATCGATGCAAATGAAGGTTTGTCCTAATTAGAAGAAAAAAAATTAAATCCTTGATTTAATCAATTCTTTACTTTGATCGTTGAATAGACATTGGAATATATAACATTTCTGCAAGAACCTAGACAATTTGGTCAAACGATTGTTAGCGGACATCTTATACAATTGAAACATGTGTTTCTTGTAAGTTTTTCTTGATTTGAAAATAGTGTTCTAATTAATATGATTTTGTTTTTCTCATCAAAAACAATTCCAGATAATCAAAGAATTTTCAAGCTACTTCCTTCTTTTGGCAAGCATTTCATTTCGACTTATTAAATGAAAAACATTCCTGTTATTTTTTTTATTAATTCATCAATAAACTCATTATTTTCAAGATTGTTTGTTTCATTCGTCTTTATATTGTTAATTAAACCCGTTATTTAATAAACTGCATTTGAAAAACAACCTGTGTATCGATTAATTTTGACTTTTTCCTTAAATAATTATGAAGTAATTTTCAATAATCATTTTCGCAAAATACCCGACAATTATGATGAAGATTTTTAGTTTTCTTTGCACAATAACCTACTATTACTAGCGAGAATCATGAGTGTAATGTCTGACTTGGAAACAAGGTTTCAAAACTGTTAAATGAAATGAAAAGTTTTTCCGATCGATAGAAGATTATCAATTTTTGTTTAAAATAGTGAAAAGCTTGATTTTTTTCATTTAAAGGGAAGGAGAAAATGATTGATCGGTGTTTTTGGTGCATGACTTTTTAGTTATGATTTCAAGTTTAGGAAAAGTAATCGGAAATTATTCAACAAACGGTTTATTTGAAAAGTTCAAATGATCATTCAAAGAACAAATATAATTTAAAAGTATATTAGAAAAATTTAATCGTTCATTTGTTTTTGAAAATAGTTTTCATGTGTATACATTCAGAATGTTGAGATGGAAAAATATACGATTCTATTGGTTCGGTCCATTTCGTTATAAATTTTCCGAACATCTTATTAATCATTATCAAAAAAATGTTCCTAGATATTTGATGAAATCAAGTACAAGTACAGGTGATTATAATAAAATTGATCAAAATCATAAGCGATATATGTTTGGATTAGGTAAGGCAAAATTGATAGGAATTATTAATAAATTTTTTCTTTTTTAATCACTAATTTTGATAGATGAATTACTTGCATTGACACTTTGTTTGATACTTGGAATACGAGGAATTTATGCTTTAAAAGATCAAACTTATTGGAACGATCATAAACGACAAATGTATTTTGGAAGTTTTTTTCGTTTATCGAATGCTCATCCATTTCATATCGAAATATTATGCGTTGTTTGGGCATTGAATTGTATCAACATTCAAATGACTTCGCTGTTTTTTCGTCTAAAACATTTACAATGGTTAAATTTGGTGATAGGACTTGAAGAGAAAATTCCACCCGAAAGCATTGGTATTGATTTAAAAATTATGAAATTTATAAATGATAAGTAGATTTTTTTTTTGAATAATAGGTCTAACAGCGACAGAATTTAATGGACTTAAAAAAAGATCTATGATAATGTCATTTTTTATTCGAAATACAATCATCTGGTTAACATCGATAGCCTATTTATTTATAACATGGAAATTTTTAACTAATTATTCTTTGTATGATTTTCTTATTTATGGCATTATATGGGGAATATTCTATGCATTTACAACTACATTAATAACATCAGCAATCTATTATACTAATTTCTACATCTTTATCATAGCCGATTTTATTCGAATCAAATTTGCTCGTTTTCAAAACATGCTAAGCAAATTGGAACAAATTAGACAAAGCAATAACGGTAAATTTGCATTAGAAATTCCTTCATTGCAAGCATTTCGCTATTTGAATCGTACGATGTCTGAATATGAATCATTCAATCAATCATGGAAATGGATCATTTCATTTGTATTGTTATGGCGATTTATCATTATAAATATAGTTACATTTGTGGCTATCTTCTACGAGATGTCACCACAATTTAAACTAATTTATCGTTCGGTATTTTTTAGCGAAAATTTTTCTTTTCTATCGATTATGATTCAATGCAGTTATATTCATCTAATGATGAATCAAACTGGCAAACGTTTACGTCAAGTTCTAATCAAACATCGAAACCTGCAATCGATTCGATTCCGGTTTAAGGTTAGTTTTGATATGACATTTGTTTGAATGGTAAAATATATTTTGAAAAATAAATTATTCTTTACTTTGAATAGTCAATAAGATATGTAAAACTACTTGTAGAACCATATCGATTTGGACAACAAACTATATTAGGAAATGTGATTGAATTGAAACATATGTTCATTGTATGTATTGTATTTCCAATAATGATACAAGAATTTTTATTTTTAATTTTTTTGTATGAACTACATTCAATTATTTAGCTAATTCGCGAATTTTCCACGTATTTCATATTGATGGCTAGTATCTCTTTTCGATTTCAGTTAATTTCATTTTAATAATGATCACGAGAAATTTTTAAACTTTCAAAATTGGTAAACCATGGCAAAGAGGAATAAAAGTTTGAATTCAAATTCTTACACAATATAAAGAAAAATCGAAAACAAATAAAAAAAATATAAATTTTTGTTCTTTTCCATATAATGTTGTGCCTTTGAAATCGATTCTGAATAGGAGAAATAAAATAAAATTCCTTTTAAAATGATTCAGATAAATGATCCTGTCATTAAAAAAAACAAAATATTATTTATCACCCAATTTAAACATTTGTTTGATAAAGTTGAATCGATCATTTCGATTTTTAAACAAAACCGAAGGGATATTATTGTCATTTTAGTTTTGGAAAAGAAACAAACATAACGATAGAAAGAAACTTATTACAAACCCGGAGACTTCATAATTATCGATTTAAATGACTACTTCAAGTTAGTTAGAAAAATGGTTTAATGATTACTCAAAATTGTTTTTGAAAATCATATTCGGTTCGCATGTTTTTTCGCTTTCAAAAAGCCTAAAATTTTTTTAAATTTTAACAATACGAAAATTGACGAATATACTTGTACTAAATGTTTCGAAATTAAATGAATAAAAACACTAATCATTTAAAATTATGAATTCTAGTATTAAATCTGATTCATTTTCACCTAAAAACTTTCTACAATTGATTTATAATAATCATCATCGTAATGATAGTGTTGGTTATGAAAAACGATCAATATTTCATTTCTTTTGGTTAGGTCGTTATCGTTATAAGTTTACTGAACATCTTTTGAATCATTATCAACGTTATGTACCTAAACCGATGATGACCTTTTTGTTTGATAGGAAAAAATTTCATTATCGAAATTTTAGAATCGATTGGAAAAAACGTTATTCATTTACATTGGGTAAGTATTGTTATATCAAATGCGTTTAATTGATTAATATTGTGAAATGAAAAACGAAAAAAGATGAATATTTAGCACTGGCTTTGTGTATTGTATTGGCCGTTCGTGGATCATATGCTGTAATTGATCGAACTTATTGGACAGATAAAAAAAGGCAAATTTATTTTGGTAGTTTTTTTGGAGTTTTCGGTGCGAATCCATTCCACGTAGAAATGTTATGTATAGTTTGGGCATTGAATTGTATCAACATTCAAATAACTTCATTGTTTCTACGTTTAAAACATTTAAAATGGCTAAATATTTTAATGACACTTGAGGATCGTATTTCTCCGAAATATATTGGCATTAAACCGGATGAATGGAAAGCCTTGAAAATAAAGGCAAATCTGATGTCTCATTTTAATCGTAATACATGTATTTGGATATCATCAATTGGTGGTTTATTTATTGGCTGGCAGTTCTTTAATAAATATTCATTATATGATTTCATTGTTTTCGGATTGATTTGGACAATATTCTATGCCATAACAACATTATTAGTGACAACAACCATTTATTATACAAATTTTTACATATTTTTAATTGCCGATTTAATGCGTATTAAATTTGAACGTTTTGAAAGAATGATCAATTTATTAAGAGAATTATTAACGAATAATAATCGAAAATCATCAAAAAATTCATTAACTCATATTTTATTGGAAAAAAATATGATCATATCATTTCGTTATCTAAATTTTCTAATGAAAGAATATGATGCATATAATCAAACATGGAAATGGTTGATTACATTTGCATTATTTTGGCGTTTTGTTATTATTAATTTTGTTGCATATATTGCCATTTTTTATGAAGTACCACCAACATTTGAACTTGCATATCAATCAATTTTTCTTGGGGAAAATCTTTCATTATTTGCAATTCTTTTCCAAGTGGGTATCATTCATGTTGGTATGCATAAATCCGGTAATCGTTTAAGACAAATTAATTATTCTTCTCGAAGATTTCAATCATTATCATTTAAATTGAAAGTAAATAACAAATCTATTTTATTTTTTTAAATGTAAATCGTTTTTCATTCAATAATGAAATGAACATTATTTAGTCATGTAGATATGTTGAATTTTTGGTCGATCCATTTCGATTTGGTCAATTTACAATTACCGGACAATTAATTCAATTGAAACATATATTCATCGTAAGTTTACTGAAGACTAACAATAATAAAAACAAAACAGCAATTAATTATCATTGAAAATGTAACTAATTAACTAATTAATCTATTATAAATAAATAGCTTGTACGTGAATTTACTGTCTACTTTTTCCTTTTGGCTGGATTTTCATTACGTATGGGACTTTTCACAATTAATCATCAACAATAGAAATTGAATTAAAATAAAAAACATCCAATGCAATTTCAAATTGTTGTTGTTTGTATCGATATTTTTTTCGCAATAGTGTTCAGATATGTAAAAAGACATTCATAAATATGAAATTATTAATGAGATTGAATAGATTTTTTGTTTCCATTTTTTTTTGATCATGCGATTCAATTCTTTAACAGAACAACAAATCTCGATATGAATGTACCTATGTTATAATTATCATAAGTCACGAAAACTTTAACCAAACTGCCCCACCGTTTAATTAAATGTAAAAAAATAAGTTCATTATTGAATTCTTCCCATTGCAAAATAGCTGAAATAATTGTTTTACTTTGTTCTAATGAAATTTGAGATTTTGAAATTTTCACCCAAATAAAATCGTTTTTTTTTCGTTTGTTTCTCAAAAAATGGATTTTGTTGTTTTTATCATACACATCAATATTTTCTAACATAACTATTGTATATTCCATACCTTGTATAGTGTGAATACATCAATGAATTTATTTACAAACGAAACAAACAAAAAATTCTTAAACATGGTTGCTTATGATTGTTTTGTTTTCTTACTTTCTTGCATTCTTATTCAATTTCATTGAAACAAAATATTTGTTTTTGTTTCTTTTTGCCTTCATTGTTTGAATAAATTTTAATAATTTACTTAATTTAGTCTGAATTATATTGGTTAAGAGTAAAGAAACAAACAAACAGAAAAAAATCACATTTTGAAGATGAAATTTTTCAAATTTACCCCAATATAATAAATGTTTTTTCTTTTTTGAAGGTTTTTTTTGACTTTTGCTGCACATATTTTTTTTTTTTGCTTCACATAATAATGATATCATCTATACACATACACACAATTGAATACAGAATTCTTTTCATAGTTAAATTTAGAACATCATCATCATCATCATACAGTTAAATAATTGATTACCATTGAATGGATTTCTGTTGGATGGTTTCGTTATTATTTCGAACGACAAGAAAAAAATACTTGTTGCTGATATGATAGAAAAATTCTTTTCTATGGATTGAATTATGAATATTGCATGAAGAGGATAAAGAAAAAAAAATTCAAGAATAGCAACATAACCATTCACACATTTTAGAATTGTTGCAAAAAAAACACACACAGAAAATTCGAAAAATGGCTTTGATGAACATTTATGGTAATGGCCAACATTTTTTTTGTAGTCGTCACAGCCACCAACACAAATGTTTCATTTCGTTATTTGGTTAAACATCATAAGAATATAAGAATTAAGGAGGTCGCCCTGTTATTCATACATAGAATATTCTATTCATTCAATGATTCGGGCGTTTTCGTTGTTGTTGATGCTGTTATATATGATAATAGACAAGGCAATGGGTGTGTGTTTTATTTATTTTTTTTAGAGCATAACAATCATCATTCAAATAATTTGAATAGAATTCTAATGAAATGTATGAAATCAAAAGAATTAAATACTAGTGCTCATCATTCGTTCCTGATCATAATCGTTTGATTTGTTAGTGACGGCAGACCATTTCTGTTTATTGAATTTGTTGTTTTAAAGAAAAAAGTTCCAGTAAAATTTCCTGAAACAAAATGTGTGACGACGAAGTAACCGCATTGGTTGTTGACAATGGTTCCGGTATGTGCAAAGCCGGTTTCGCCGGTGATGATGC